CACGAGTGCCAAATTAATTTCTGTACGCGCAATTCACATGTACGCCGAACGCAAGCACACATCGCGCGTCCTTGGATCCACACACCACTGGCCATCCACCACTGATGAGTCGGAGCGTTTGCTACGGCATATAGAAAAACATATTTTCACGATCTGTGTAGCCCAAGTTGGGGGATTTGGACCTCCCAATAGTACGAGACCCCAACAGCACATGAAATATTATTCGCCGCCTGCGCCCGTGCGCCTCAACTCGCAACGGACACATGCCACCGCTTGCGTGACCGCCTGTTGGACCCAGCGCGCCGCAGGCCAGAAATGTTCGGCCCTTCGAGCGGTCTTACGCAATCTTGCTGACCTTGAATTATCAGGAGCGAAAGAAGGACGTACATGTACATGAATCCACGCTGGTTTCGAGAGCACGCATTGCACAAAGGTTCGTATAACGCGGCCGGTCTCGCGAATCGAGGGGCCGCGTTCATGTACATAGCTGGGCGCGTACGTCCTTTGTGGGCTCCCTAAATTACGGGGGAGGGAGACCTGTTGCTGAATTGCTTCCATCAGCCGATGCTCCCACAGACCTCAGGCGGATTGCTCCCAAGCCTCCCGCGGAGTTGTGTGGCAGGCGATTTCCCACCCGATCCTCTGAGCTGATTTTTCCTCGGAAAGTCAGGCCGTTTAGAAGAGGAGGGAAAGTCGGGGATAAACCCTTGGGGACAATTCGGAAGCAATTCTAGCGAGGATGGAATCTCCCCCATCGTACGTATATCGCCGAGTTTAGCACCAAAGAGTTGTCCAGTCGAAAACCCCGCAGAGGCGGGGATTTGGGTCGCCACCGTTACTGGGTCCTCGCCTCGACTCATGAGCACCGCGCACCGTCTCATTCCCAGCTCCCCCATCCCCCTCCTCTTGCTCCTCTGCCTCCTCTCCCTGCCTGTGCTGCCTGTCTCCGTGCTCTCCGTCGCTGTGCGATCTCCGCCGTCTCTGCCTGCCGCTCGCCGCCCGGGCCATGCTCCTTCGCGCCCGCCAGCGGCCGGGTGGGGACGGGGGGAGGAGGAGGGGAAGAGGTGGGAGAAGGAGGAGGAGGAGGAGTCTGGAGGAGGAGGAGGAGGAGAGGAGGAGGAGGATGATGATGATGATGAGGAGGGCGTCGGCGACACCCCCCTCCGTTGGCAATGAGCTGGGGGTTGGGGGGGGGGATCCGCCGCCGTGGGGCCGGCTAGGGAGGGCCGCGGTCGAACGGATGAGGGGATGTCCTCCTCGAAGCTCGAAGCTGCGGACTGTAACAGAGCGTGCCCCTCACGCGTTCCGTGCCCCCCCACGGAGCTGAACCGGCGGCCGGCCCCAGCGGGGGGGGGGGGTGCGCATGCCGCCACCCCGCCCCGACTCGGAGCGCCCTGCGCACGATCTGTGCCGCCCCAGGCCCCAGGCTGCGCTCCTCCTCCTCCTCCTCCTCCTCCTCCTCCTCCTCCTCCTCCTCCTCCCTCCTCCTCCCTCCCTCCCTCCCTCCCTCCCTCCTCCCTCCCTCCCTCCCTCCCTCCTCCCTCCCTCCCTCCTCCTTCCTCCTCCTCCTCCTCCTCCTCCTCCTCCTCCTCCTCCTCCTCCTCGCCCTTCGGCCTCAGGAGGGCGAGGAGGGGGGGAGGCGCATGCGGCACACCGCACACACGTGTTGTGATGGTCGTTTCCGCTGCCGCCTTTGCCGCTGCAGGGCGGGATCCGATGCGTACAGGCTGGGCCCAGGGATGTCAGGTCGCGAGCAGTTCTGTTGCATCTTCGGGGGACCTCGCCTGTCCCCAAAATTGGTGTCTTTTGGGGGGCCCGACGCGGGCTCGATGCGGACTCGACGCGGATTTGGCGTGGATTCGACGCGGATTCGACACGGATTCGACACGGATCCGACGCGTCCGACATGGATTCGACACGCATTCGACGCGGACAGGACCGCGACGGGACAGACAAGGTCCCCCGAGGATGCAACATAAGAGCAGAATGAGGAGTGGAAAATGAGAAGCGACCTCCTATGCCTCCTCTGGTTGCCTTCGGCTGCCGTGACGTTCGCGGCGAGCGGAGTCGGAACCGAGATCTCCGGCCTTACGTCTGTAAGCTCATGCCATTCCCGATCTCTCTCGGGCCAGTCAGAGTAACAGTCAGGTGCAGGTCTGTGCTGCACGTCTTCGCTGTGTGGCACATCAGCTGGCATGGCACCAGCACGAACAGCAGACCATTCCTGAGCATGCGTCGCCTGAACCGGGCTGCTCAGAGCATTTTCCTCATCCAGAGGAGGAGGAGGAGGAGGAGGAGGAGGAGGAGGAGGAGGAGGAGGAGGAGGAGGAGGGGGAGGGGAGGAGGGGGAGGAGGAGGAGAGGAGGGATAGGAGGGGAGGAGGAGGAGGAGGAGGAGGCGGAGGCGGAGGAGGAGGGGAGGAGGAGGAGGAGGAGGAGGAGGAGGAGGAGGAGGAGGCAGCTCCTCGCCGCGCTCTCTCTCTCTCTCTCTCTCTGGGGCTGCTCTGGGCCACCCGCGGGGCCGCGAAGACAACCGCGCCCCGCGCGTGTCCCGGTCCGGGCCGGAGCGGCTGCCCTTCTCCGTGTGGGCAGGCACGAGGGCGCGGCGCGAAGAGAAACGCGCAGCGCGATGCGCGAAGCTGGGTAGCCTGGGGTTCTGGCCCGCAGCCCCCCAATCAGAAGCTAGGGGCCATCGCAGCCCCTCCCTCCTCCTCCTCCTCCTCCTCTCCTCCTCCTCTCCTCCTCCTCCCTCCTCCTCCTTCCTCCTCCTCCTCCTCCTCCTCTCCTCCTCCTCCTCCTCCTCCTCCTTCCTCCGCTCCCTCCTCCTCCTCCTCCTCCTCCTCCTCCTCCTCCTCCTCCTCCTCCTCCTCCTCCTCCTCCTCCTCCTCCTCCTCCTCCCCCACAGCCCACAGAAACCCACTCCCACCCCCAGTCCCGACTCCCACCCGCGAATGGGCGATCCAGAAGGTCGGGACGGGGGGCGGAGGTGTTTTCTGGATCCCTTGGACCCCGAAGAGACTACCCCCATCCCCAGTCCCGACCCACCTGGATCGCTGGTCCGGGGGTGGAAGACGGGACTGGGGGGGTGGGGGGGGTTCGCCTTTCCACCCAATTGGAGTGACCCCCCACACGCCTTCGGAGAAGGCTCCGAAGATTTCCCAGAAGGCCCGAGGCCTTCCGCGCCTTCTGAGGAGCCCCTTCCCCCCCTTGGGCTCGCCTCCGAAAATCGGCATAAGCACACTTGTAGGCCTCTTGGATGGGGTCGGAGTAGATGGTGTCGGAGGATCGCGCCGCATCGCCGACGCGTCGGCGATGCGGCTCATGAGGGGGTCCCGCCCGACCTGATCTCCCCAGTGCGGCGGCAGCGGGCCCGTCGTGCACAGATGCGCAAAATGATCTGTCGCCGCCCAAACGATCTGTCGCCGCACGCTCTTTGAAAATTGATCAGAATGGAGATCAAGACAGGTGGGACCCCCTCATTACGGCTCGCTGTGAAGCCCGAGTCTCTCCACGCCTGCGTCGCCGATACACCGCCGACGTTGCCGATGCATCGGCGATGCGGCTCGATGTGGAGCCCGATTTTCCCCACGCTGGCGTCGCCGATGCATCGTCGATGTCGCCGGTGCATCGGCGATGTATCGCCGATGTATCGGCACTGCGGCGCGATCCTCCAACCCGATCTAGTCCGACCTCGTCTAGGAGGCCTCTACCATCTGCATTCCCTCCTGGGCTCGCCGCCGACCAATGCTGCCCTCCCCCTCCTCCACCCCTGCCCCTGTAAAGCTGGGCCTGGTGCTGGAGGCACTCGCCTTGCCCCCGACGCCGCCCGACTGCGCGGACTGCCCACCCGACCCACCCGACCTCGCCGAGCGCTTTCCACTACTCGCAAAGTGCCTAAGAGAAACGTCCGGAGAAAACACGTGATTGCCTCGACGTAATAGATCGTGAATCCCCCGCGGCGGATCCATGCCATTTGCGAGTAGTTCCTCTGCGAGTAAGTCGGGCATGTCCCCTTACAGGAGGAATTATCTAACAATAGTCAAAACATAGTCTGGGGTCGACTTTCCCATGCTCTTTGTTTTTCTTCCAAAACCCGCCTGTGGGAGGACATGCCCAACCTAAGAGTAGTGGAGCGCTTGTCTCCTGCCGATTGCGATGCCGCCCGTTGCCTCGTTCCCGCGCCAGGGCACCGTTAGCATCGCCGTCGTCGTCGCCGTCCCGTCCTGTCGTCGTCGTCGTCGTCGTCGTCGTCGTCGTCGTCGTCACGACGTCGTTGTCGTCGTCGTCGTCATCATCATCGTCGTTGGTTGTTGTTGCCGTCGTCGTCCCGACGTCGTCGTCGTTGTCATCGTCGTCCCGTCGTCGTCCCGACGTCGTCGTCGTCGTCGTCGTGGGCGTCGTCGTCGTCGTCGACACTACCGTCGTCATCGTCGTCGTCGTCGCCGTCGTTGTCGTGGACGTCGTCGTCGTCGACACGAAAGTTGTCGTCGTTGTCGTCGTCGTCGTCGTCGTCGTGGGTGTCGTCGTCGTCGTCGACACGAACGTCGTCGTCGTCGTCGTCGTCGTCGTCGTGGGCGTGTCGTTGTCGTCGTTGACACGAAAGTCGCCGTCGTTGTCGTCGTCGTCGACACGAACGTCGTCGTCGTCGTCGTCGTCGTCGTCGTCGTCGTCGTCGTCGTCGTCGTCGTCGCGGGCGTGGGCGTCGTCGTCGTCGTCGTCGACACGAACGTCGTCGTCGTCGTCGTCGTCGTCGTCGTCGTCGTCGTCGTCGTCGTCGTGGGCGTCGTCGTCGTCGTCGACACGACCGTCGTCGTCGTTATAGTCGTCGTTGTCGTCGTCGTGGGCGTCGTGGGCGTCGTCGTCGTCGACACGATTGTCGTCGTCGTCGTCGTCGTCGTCGTGGGCGTCGTCGTCGTCGTCGTCGTCGTCAATGTCAATGCCAATGTCAACGCGAACGTCGTCGTGTTGTCGCTGTCGTCCCCCCGCCCTGCCCCGGCAAAGCTGGGCCCGGCGCCGGCGGCACTCGCGTTCCCCCCGACGCCTCCCGCCAGCGCGGCGGTTGCCCAGCAGGCGCCTCCCGCCGGCGGCCGTCGTTTGCCGGGAGGAGGATGGAGGAGGAGGAGGAGGAGGAGGAGGAGGAGGAGGAGGAGGAGGAGGAGGAGGAGGAGGAGGAGGAGGAGGAGGGGAGGAAGATGGAGGAGGATGGAGAAGGATGGAGAGGATGGAGGAGGAGGAGGAGGAGGAGGAGGCGGATGGAGGGAGGAGGAGGAGGAGGAGGAGGAGGAGGAGAGGAGGAGGAGGAGGAGGAGGAGGAGGAGGGAGGAGGAGAGGAGAGGAGAGGAGGAGGAGGAGGAGGAGAGGAGGAGAGGAGGAGAGGAGGAGAAGGAAGGAGGAGGCGGAGGAGGAGGAGGAGGAGGAGGAGGAGAGGAGGACAGGAGGAGGAGGAGGAGGATGAGGGGGAGGTAGGAGGAGGAGAGGAGGAGGAGGAGGAGGAAGGAAGGAGGAGGAGAGAGGAGGATGGAGGAGGAGGAGGAGGAGGAGGATGGAGGATGGAGGAGGAGGAGGAGGAGGAGGAGGAGGAGGAGGAGAGGAGGAGGAGGAGGAGGAGGAGGAGGAGGAGGAGGAGGAGGAGGAGGAGGAGGAGGAGGGGAGGAGGAGGAGGAGGAGGAGTAGGAGGAGGAGGAGGAGGAGAGGAGGAGGAGGGGAGGAGGAGGTAGGAGGAGGAGGAGGAGGAGGAGGAGAGGAGGAGGAGGAGGAGGAGGAGGAGGAGGAGGAGGAGGAGGAGGAGGAGGAGGAGGAGGAGGAGGAGGAGGAGGAGGAGAGGAGGAGGAGGAGGAGGAGGAGAGGAGGAGAGGAGGAGGAGGGGAGGAAGGGAGGAGGAGGAGGAGGAGGAGGAGGAGGAGGATGAGAGGATGGTGGATGGAGGATGGAGGATGGAGGAGGAGGAGGAGGAGGAGGAGGGAGGAGGAGGAGGAGGAGGAGGAGAGGAGGAGGAAGGAGGAGGAGGAGGAGGAAGAGGAGGAGGCGGAGGAGGAGGAGGAGGAGGAGGGGGAGGGGGAGGGGGAGGGGGAGGGGAGGGGGAGGGGGAGGAGACAAGAACGAGGAGGAGGAGGAGGAGGTGGAGGAGGAGGAGGAGGAGGAAGAAGGAGGAGGAAGGAGGAGGAGAAAGGAGGAGGAGGAGGAGGAGCAGTAGCAGCATGACGGCGTCGACGGCGGCGACGACGGTGACGACGACGTCTTGGGCGCCCTCTCTCTCACTCACTCTCTGTCTGTGCCTCTGTCTCTGTCTCTCTCTCTCTCTCGCTCTGCCTCTCTGTCCGCTCGCAGCCCCCAAGCGGTGTCGCCCCGATTTGTTTTGGGGCAGGGGAGTTGTTAAAGGTCGCGCGAGGTAAGGAGAGACGGGGGGGCAAGGAGGCGGAGGAGGACGAAGGATTGCAAAAAAACGAAGGATTGCAAAAAACGAAGGGTTTTTTTTTGTTTTTTTTGCAATCCTTCGTTCAGGTAGCGCGAGGTAGGAGAGACAGGGGGGCAAAGAGGCGGAGGAGGACGAGGAGGGGCAACCCTGTCCGCAGAACCCCCCCTCCCCCAGCGGCAGGGGGCGCCTGCCGTGGGACGGGGGGGGCGTCGGCAGCAGCGCTGGTCGGGTCCGCGGCGCCGTCGCGGAACTGCAGCGCGCCTGGTTGGGCCAGCGCGCCGTCCTGCGCCATTGCCTCCACGGTCCCAGTGCCACCGTCCACATGCGTCCCCCGCACACGCACTTCGGCACACCCCTCAAACGCTTCGCGGCCCCATAGGGAGCTCCACCGAAGGCCCCAGCGCCACCGTCCACATGCGTCCCCCCCACACCCATTTCGGCACACCCCTCACACGTTTCGCGGCCCCATAGGGAGCTCCACCGAGGGGCGTCCCCCGCGCCCATGTCGGCACACCCTTCACACGTTTCGTGGCTCCATAGGGAGCTCCGCCGAATGCCCGAGTACCACCGTCCACAGCCTCAGTGCCACCGTCCACATGCGTCCGCCGCACCCATTTCGGCACCCTTCACACTTTTCGTGGCCCCATAGGGAGCGCCACCGAAGAAGATATTCACAATTGTGGTACGCGCAATTGCATATGGTTGGGTCTTTCGCCAGGCTAATTGGTTTTGAAGGTTTTTAGCATTCTCATCTTTTCGGGCTTCCGACACGCCAAGACGGCCCAAGATGCTTCCGAGATCGCCTCAAGTCGGCCCAAGACGCCCCCAGGAAGGCTGCTCTTGGGGGCGTCTTCTTGGGGGCAGCTTGCTGATCCTGCCTGAGCGCTGGCATTAGAGCCGACGCACTGCTCGGGGCGTGGCCCCCGACCACCTTCTCTGACCGGTACCTCAAGAATCCAGCGTGAACTGGTTTGGGGTTGTGTGTGAACTGCCCCAAGAGGGCTGCCAGGCGGGTCAAGAGGAGCCCAATCAGAGGGATCCTAACCGAGCCCCGAGAGCGGGAAGTCGAACTGACATCTCGCGCCCTCCGCGTCCCGAGGATGGTCCCCCGAGGCCGTTGGCAGGCCCCCAACGGGGCCCACCAGAAGCCACAGGAGGCCGATCGTTTCCCAAATCAGGACCCAGGAGGCCCCCCCAGAGGCCCAGACTTAAGGCGGGCATGTCGCTCTACAGGGGGAATACAACAATAGTTCAATTATCCAGCCGAAGGACCCAACCATAGGTAGTTGTGAGTAACGCGTTGTGGGTGCCGCTTCCGGCGGGCCACGCAACGCGTGATGGGGCGTGCCGTAATGGGTTAGGGGACGCATGAGGGCGGTCCAACTGGGGCCATCTGTGGAGCTCCCTGTGGGGCCACAACGCGCTGTAATGGGTTGTGGAGACGCATGCGGGCACCCCCACTGGGGCCTTCGGTGGAGCTCCCTGTGGGGCCACGACGCGCTGTAGTGGGTTGTGGAGACGCATGCGGGCGGTGCTACTCGGGCCTTCGATGGAGCCCCCCTATTGGGCCACGAAGCGCTGTACTGGATGTGGCGGACGCATGCGGGCGGTCCCACTGGGATCCTCGCTGGAGCTCCCTATGGGGCCACTAAGCGCTGCACTGGGTATGCCACTGGGGCATTCGGTGGAGCTCCCTCTGGGGCAGCGAAGCGCTGTACTGGGTGTGGCGGACGCATGCGGGCACCCCCACTGGGGCCTTCGGTGGAGCTCCCTGTGGGGTTACGAAACGCTGTACTGGGTGTGGTGGACGCATGCGGGCAGTCCCACTGGGACCTTCGGTGGAGCTCCATACGGGGCCACGAAGCGCTGCACTAGGTTTGGCGGACGCATGCGGGCACCCCCAGTGGGGCCTTCGGTGGAGCTCCCCATGGGGCCATGAAGCGTTGTACTGGGTGTGGCGGACGCATGCGGGCACCCGCACTGGGGCCTTCGGTGGAGCTACTTATGGGGCCACGAAGCGTTGTACTGGGTGTGGCGGACGCATGCGGGCACCCCCACTGGGGCCTTCGGTGGAGCTCCTTATGGGGCCACGAAGCGCCGTACTGGGCGTGGCGGGCGCATGCGGGCGGTCCCATTGGGGCCTTCGGTGGAGCTCCCTATGGGGCCACGAACGCTGTGCTGGGTGCGGCGGACGCGTGCGGGCGGTCCCACTGGGGCCTTCGGTGGAGCTCCTTATGGGACACCGAAGCGCTGCATTAGGTTTGGCGGACGCATGCGGGCACCCCCACTGGGGCCTTCGGTGGAGCTGCCCATGGGGCCGCGAAGTGTTGCACTGGGTGTGGCGGACGCGTGCGGGCACCCCCACTGGGGCATTCGGTGAAGCCATGGGGCCACGAAATGGTGTACCCACACTGGGGCCTTCGGTGGAGCTCCCTACGGGGCCACGGAGCGTTGTGCAGACTGGGTGTGGCGGACGCATGCGGGCGGTCCCATTGGGGCCTTCGGTGGAGCTCCCTATGGGGCCACGAAGCGTTGTACAGACTGGGTGGGAGGGACGCATGCGGGCACCCCCACTGGGGCCTTCTGCGGAGCTCCCTATGGGGCCACGAAGCGTTGTACAGACTGGGTGTGGCGGACGTATGCGGGCGCCCCCGCTGGGGCCTTCGGTGGAGCTCCTTATGGGGCCACGAGACGCCGTGCTGGGTGTGGCGGACGCATGCGGGCGGTCCCACTGGGGCCTTCGGTGGAGCTCCTTATAGGGCCACGAAGCGCTGCACTAGGTGTGGCGGACGCATGCGGGCACCCCCACTGGGGCCTTCGGTGGAGCTCCCTATGGGGCCACGAGGCGCTGCACTGGGTGTGGCGGACGCATGCGAGCACCCCCACTGGGGCCTTCCGTGGAGCTCCCTATGGGGCCACGAAACGTGTGAGAGGTGTGCCAAAGTGAGGGGGGTGACGGGAGGAGGGAGGAGGGGGGGGAGGAGGAGGAGAGAGGAGGAACGCATGGACCGTCTGACCGTCTCTTCAAAACGAAGACCCGACACCACAGGATGGTTGGGAAAAATAGCTTGGAGACGATGTTTCTGCCATTTTCTTATATTTTTGAACATGTCTGGAATATTGATCCCCTTTCGTCCAAAATCCGCCTGTAGGACCTGTAGGAGGACATGCCCCACCTAACAGGAGCCCCTATGAGGCCGATCGTTTCCCAAATTGGGACCCAGGAGGCACCCCCAGGGGCCCAAAGAGGCCCAAGACACTCTCAACATCGCCTCCAAGAGGCTCCCGATCGGCTTTCCAGGAGATCCCCCCGCAGGCATTCGAGCGGCCTCTGGCTTGCAATCTAGGCGCGGATGCGGTGTCTTGTGGAGAGCAGCGCCTTCGTTGCCCAGCCTGCACTTTTGCAAGCGAGAATGTCGCTCTGCACGCGCTTTCCAATTTGTGTGGCGAGCGCCGTCCGTAGCCATTCTGGCTCAAGGCATGTTGGCTCAAACACGTCTCGGCTTGCTAGTACGGCGATGTGGTTCTGCAGACCTGACCAGATCACCCCGCCGGACACGCTGCGCGAGGTGCCAGTGGAGAAGACGGATGCCGTGGCCAATCGGGCATTAGAGGGAGAGGCCATGCCGCAGGCAGACGTGGTGCCATTGACCGC